ATTATATAATTAATAAATACATAATTAACCCGTTAACCTATTTCAATTTTTTTAATTTTCGATTTCTCGACACCTTCGTTTTTGATTTTTAAAATTCTTCAACTTTTCGATTTCTCAATTTTGGAGAATTTTCAACTTTTTGGTTTCTCAATTTTTAAAATGTTTTGATTCCTCAATTCTCTACATTCAGATGCTTCAACTTTTCGATTCTTCAATTTTAAATTTTTTGATTTTTCGATTTTGGCTTATTTCGACTTCCCTACTTTCGATGCTTCATTTTTTTGACATTTCAGTTTAGCAGTTTTCAATTTCCCGCTTGTTAAGTTTTCTGATTCTTCAATTTTTCAATTTCTCGATTAATCGATTTTTTAATTTTTCGGCTTTTAATTTTCCAGTTTTTAAAATTTGTAATTTTTCGATTTCTCGGCTTTGCGATTTTTCAATCGATTTTTCGATATTTCAGATTTCCCTTTTTTTAAATAAAAAAAAAAAAATTTAAGCAACAAGTGAACAAAAAACATGGGAATTTTATTTAAAATAATAATAATAATAATAATAATTAACCTATCAACATATTTCAATTTTCCTAATTTTCGATTTAATTAACATCTTGGTTTTTCGATTTTTAAAATTTTTCGACTTTTCGATCTCTCAATTTTTCAACATTTCAATTTTTTTCGGGGTTTTTCAATTTCCCGATTAATCGATTTTTAAAATTTTTCGACTTTTCAATTTTTCAGTTGTTAAAGTTTTAATAAAAAAAGCAAAAATAATTAACCTATTAACATATTTCAATTTTTCTAATTTTCGATTTCTCAATTTTGGAATTTTTTAAATTTTTTTATTTCTCAACCTGTCGACATTGCGATGTTTCAATTTTTCGATTCTTCAATTTTTGATTTTGGGTTATTTCGATTTTCGACTTACCGACTTTTCGATGTTTTAGTGTTTTGACATTTCAGTTTTGGGATTTTGCAATTTTTTGATCGTTCAGTTTTTTGATTCTTCAATTTTTCAGTTGATAAAATTTTTAATTTTTAGCTTTCACGATTTATCAAGTTGTCGATTGTTCAATTTCCCGATTTTTGGATTTCTCGCCTCTGCAATTTTTCAATTGATTTTTCGATAATTTCAGATTTGGGTTTTTTAATTTCTTGTTTTCCAATTTTCCGAGTCCTCAATTATAGATTTTTCGAATTGTCGTGCTTTTTTATTTTTCAGTTTTACGATTTTTGGAAGTTCAGATTTCCCAATTTTTAATAATAAAAAAAAAGGAAAAAAAAAGCAATCACAAGTGAAGAAAAAACATGAAAATTTTAACTAAAAAAAAAAAACAAAATTAATAAATAGATAATTAACCTATCAACATATTTAATTTTTTTCTAATTTTCGATTTAATGACATCTTGGTTTTTCGATTTTTAGAATGTTTTGATTTCTCAATTTGTCAACACTCAGATGCTTCAATTTTTCGACTTTTTTCTATTTTAATTTTTTTAATTTTTCGATTTTGCGTTATTACGATTTGTCGATTTTGTGATTTTTCAATCGATTGTCCGATATTTCAGATTTGAGTTTTTTTAATTTCTTGTTTTCCAGTTTTTCGATTCCCCAATTTTTAATTTTTTAAAAATGTGTTTGCCAATCACAAGTGAACAAAAAACATGATAATTTTAATAAAAAAAAAATTCAATAAAAGTATATAATTATTACATACATAATTAACCCGTTAACCTATCTCAATTTTTCTAATTTTCGATTTCTCGACACCTTTGTTTTTGATTTTAAAAATTCTTCAACTTTTCGATTTCACAATTTTTCAATTTTGGAGATTTTTCAACTTTTTGGTTTCTCAATTTTTAAAATGTTTAAAAATTCCTCAATTCTCTACATTCAGATGCTTCAATTTTTAGTTTTTTTAAATTTTAAATTTTTTGATTTTTCGATTTTGGCTTATTTCGACTTCCCTACTTTCGATGCTTCATTTTTTTGACATTTCAGTTTTAGGAGTTTTCAATTTCTTGCTTGTTAAGTTTTCTGATTCTTCAATTTTTCAATTTCTCGATTAATCGATTTTTTAATTTTTCGATTTCTCGACTTTGCGATTTTTCAATCGATTTTCCGACATTTCATATTTGGATTTTTTTAATTCCTTGTTTTCAACTTTTTCGATTCCTCAATTTTCCGATTTTTCGATTTCTTGTTCTTTTTCATTTTTCAGTTTTACAATTTTTGGATGTTCAGATTTCCCTTTTTTTAAATTTTTAAAAAAATTTTTAGGCAACAAGTAAACAAAAAACATGGGAATTTTATTTAAAATAATAATAATAATAATAATAATAATAATTAACCTATCAACATATTTCAATTTTCCTAATTTTCGATTTAATTAACATCTTGATTTTTCGATTTTTAAAATTTTTCAACATTTCAATTTTTCAGTTGTTAAAATTTTTAATATTTAGCTTTCACGATTTATCAAATTGTCGATTGTTCAATTTCCCGATTTTTGGATTTCTCGCCTCTGCAATTTTTCAATTGATGTTTCGATATTTCAGATTTGGGTTTTTTAATTTCTTGTTTTCCAGTTTTCCGATTCCTCAATTATAGATTTTTCGAATTGACGTGCTTTTTTATTTTTCAGTTTTACGATTTTTGGAAGTTCAGATTTCCCAATTTTTAATTAAAAAAAGAAAAAGAAAAAAAACAATCACAAGTGAACAAAAAAAATATTTTTTTTTTTAGATTTCTCAATTTGTCAACATTCAGTTGCTTCAATTTTTCGATTCTTCAATTTCTGATTTTTTTAATTTTCAATTTTTCTCGATTAATCGATTTTTAATTTTTCGGCTTTTTAAAATTTTTAATTTTTCAATTTCACGATTGATCAAGTTTTCGATTGTTCAATTTCCCGAATTTTTTTTTTTAAATGACCAAATAGTTTTAGGATTAAAAATATCGATTTCATACATCGTTTGCGACGACAATGAAACAGAATTCTCACAGCCTGAGAAAACATAACCGAACAAACACGACGGTAATAAAATTCAAGCAACATAAACTCGGTCATTATAACAAACGTACGTCAAGTGATCGAAGGTGACTGCAATCAAAGTCACCTCTACTAGAAAACAGACAAATCAAAGGTATATAATTCGAGAAAAAAACAAGTTTTTCCTTGTAAAGACGACTTAATAATTTTGTATAAAAAGTAATTAACAAATAAACTAAATCAAATTAAGAATTAAAATTCGAAACTTTTCCTTATGCACTTAGATAAAAGGGCTACTCTGGCGCAACGACAATGTGGACTGCATTAGTCTGATTGATCTGAGAGTTAAATAGAAAGTTTCACGAGCGAACCAAGTAATTGATTAAAGTTATTTAGACAGAACTTCAACATAGTCAATAAAACACGTAAAAATCCAAATGTGAGTAAGTAAACGTTAAAAGACAATAGTGTAGATTCGACTCGCTGTTCCTCGTTCTCCATACAGTGCATTTCACTATACGCGTTTAGTTTCCCGTCCGCGTTCTCCGAATTCTGCCACTTTTATTACATCAAGGAATGTATTTATTTTGCAATTAGTTCCCAGTCCATGTAACACGCCCTACCAATGCACATTCAATCGAGGTGTAGCAAAGCACCGTTACTTTATTGTTATTCTAGGAATTATTGCTGGAACCGCAATATTGTTATCGTGGTTATCAGTGCCGAACTAAAACATAAACACTGTTAACAATTTTTAGAGTGAGCGGCGCTCGTAATGGAATATTTTCAACCAACAAAAGTGCAAGTAACCACAAAAACGAAACCCGTCTTTCGTACAGACTTACAACAAATGATAATCTAGGATACGCTTTCTACATTGTTTGCGATATATTCTTTTGTATGTTAATATGATCGATTTTCCTAGTGTCAAGGCTGATTTTGCGGCAGACTTCTACTTGCGAATCGATACAATTAAATTCGGCGGAAAATTTAAATTTTTTGACTTTGTTATCTCTTTTTCTATTGTGTATTATTTATTTGCGTTGTGTTATCTTAATCTCGTTTATTTTTACATAAAACACAGTACCTTACATTTGACTTATCTTACTTGTTTGCGGATGGCTCTTTGTTCATGGGTAGGACCTGTGAATCACCAATAAAAACCCTTATTGATTTTTGCTTACTTTAGATAAAACAACATAATCCAAAGCAAATATTGATTTCTCGTTAACGAACAAAAAAATACTGGAACCGCTCACGTTGAAAACAAGTAAAGTGGCCTATTATTTGATCGTTTCGGGTGTTATTAAAATGAACATTAACCTCACTAGTGAGGCGAAATTTTATTATCTTGTTGTTTGAAACGCTCGATTGTTTGAGTGGGTCCCCCCCACTTTTTTAACTCGCGCGTAAAAAATATAAATGGAAGTCGTCATAAAGTGGTTTTTAAGCCCGTCGGAATTAAAATTCAAAAAACAGGTGGGTTTATTCGTAGCGTAAATATCATTGTTATGAAAAGGATAAACCGACACGTGCGATTTTTATGGGCTAAAAATAGTCGGTTTTTCGTATTTTTCTGATGTACTGGCGCCCCTCCAAAAAATAATCCCATTGCGTTAATTAATGTGGTAGCAATGAAGGTAATAAATACGTGGTAGTCGCAATTGTCGTTAATTACCTATGCGATTTTGTAACGATTACGAGCGTAATTACCGGGGACGCATAGAAACAGCTCTCCCATCCCAGGAACGAAATGCACATTTAATACAAGTCGAATCAATGGGCGCGTGGGCGCCACTTTTAAAACAAAGGAACCGATCATTATTCATGAATGAAAGCCACTTGACGCTTCCAGAAGCGTGAAAGTTTTTGATCGACGAAGCGTCCCGACGTCATCCATGTGTTTACTATCCATCCGATGAATGAAATTTTTAGATCAAATTACATAACAGTCTTCCATCATGTTGGCATCTTGAGTGATGCCGCCGTCTCCTAATGGGTTTTCGTACCTTGAAGCTGCTGTGAACCAGCGTCTCGTCCAAGTCTATCACCATGCACTTCTTGTGCATGTCCTGGTGGCGCACCGGGGGCAGCAAGTACGTGCAGCTGCTGCCGGCGTTGTACTGGTTGCCGTCGACGCACTGCTCCGGCGGCGGCTTCTTGGCGCTGCGCCGCCCCAGGCAACAAAACAGCGAGCGCAAGAAGCCGCGGCCGCCCTTCTTGTTCGGGGGCGGCTTCTCCTCTGATATGTCATTCTCGGTCCTCGGGAGGGTTCCTACAACGAAATCGAGTCACCACCAGAAAATGTGAAAGCTCCCGCAAACCAGGTCACGAAAAGGCGTGGAGTGCACCGTCTGCATACGCATCGGACATATTGCTGAGACGCAAATTTGCCAGGAATTTCAAAAATTGGCGTCCAATCCCAGGGTCGGGCTCAAGGTTAGCTGGTCCAGGCAGCACCTTGTTTACGCCGTGCACCGCACGCCTACTCGACGAGGCGGCGGCGCGCCGCCCCCGGGGCCCGGCGGGGGCGGCGCGAGGGGGCCCGAGCGCTATTTACCTTTTTCGGGAGGGTAACTGTTTAACTGCTCGTCGTCCCTTGACACCTGGGTGATGATGGACGATGCGTCCATTTAAACATTTGTTGGGTGCCGAGGGCGCTGCTGGGTTGGCTTTGTTGTCCCGAACACAACATGCACGATTAAAAATAGTGTTTTTAAAACACCTTTTGCAAAATGGCAGATGCTGTTTTCGCTGCGAACACTCACCACTGCCACGCGGACTCTGCTTTACCGGCGGAGAGGAATGGCCGCGGCTGCGCGCTAAATTTGAACGGGGAAAACTCATCTGGTTAATGGATTAGGTGGAGCGGTTTTTAGTTTTTTCGTGGGGTGGTGGCGATCGTTTCCAGGAGCGGAGAACAAAAGAGGATTGGAAAATTGGCAAAATAAAAGAGAGCGAAGTCCCGGCGGAGGGTTTATTGACAATGTCGGCGAGTTTTCACACGTAGACGCTAATTACATCACAACCAAACAACAACAAAGTAATTATCACTTTGCTAATTAACGGGATAATTCATCTGCAGTCATTAGACACTGGTAAATACCGTCAGACGGTTCATTCGAAATACCGTCAGCATGGGGGTTCTTGAGATTTATGAAATATGGAAGTCTGTGACTGCAATAAATGTCAAATGTTTTAAATATTCATATCATATTTTTTACCTGTTTTCATCATTCTTCAACCGAAACTTTCTTTCGCCTCGAATTTCTTAGTCTTTCTCCTTTCGACAAGCTTTTAAACCGAAAATTTTTGGTGACGTCCCCTTAAAATTTTTTAGTAGATAAACACCATCTAAATTTTCTAAAGTAACATGAAGTAACCTTATTTGGCATACATCTGTTAAAACTTTTATGACTTAAGCGGCTTAAGTCAAACCACCCTTATAAGTCAAACTGGCTATTGTAAGCAAGATCGTCACTGTCCATTGTTGGCATAATGTAGTTGTGAACTGAGTTAAGTAATACAATAGCCAGTTTGACTTATAAGGGTGGTTTGGCTTAAGCCGCTTAAGTCATAAAAGTTTTAACAGGTGTATGTCAAATTAGGTTACTTTACTTATATTGTGGTTTATGAGCACCCCTCTATTTTTACCCAGGCGTCTCGATTTTCGCGAAAAAAACCCAACATCAAAAAAGTGAAAAATGTAAAATTTAAAAAATCGAAAAATGAAAATATTGAAAAACTGAAAAATACATAAATAAGTCGAAATATTTTAAAAACATATTTTGAGACATTAAACTTTGAAACTTAAAAAAAAAATAAACTGAAACACTGAAAAATCGAAGTCTCCATCGAAATCTTGATAAAACGAGAAATCGAAAAATTGAAAATCAAAAACTGAAAAATCCAAACATTTTAAAAACCGAAAAATTGGAAAAAATGAAAAATCCCAAACTGAAATATCGAAAACTTGAGAAATCTAAAAATTGAAAAATCAAGAAATCGAAAGTCGAAAAATCGAGAAATCGAAACGTCGAAAAATTATTCATCAAATTACTGGAAAAATAAAAACTAGGGGATTACAATACTTCCTTTGCTTACGCTCGGGAAGTAAAAATTGAAGAATCGAAAAACTGAAAAATCTGGAAATTGAAAAATCCCAAAATTGAAGTGTCGAAAAATGGAAAATCCAAAATTGGAAGATCGAAAAACCGAGAAATCTAAATTGAAAAATTAAAACATCCAGAAATCGAAATATCAGAAGTTCGAAAACCCGAAAAATTTAGAATTCAAGATAGCCCAAAATTGAAACATTTAAACTTTGAAACTTAAAAAAAATAAATTGAAAAACTGAAAAATCGAAGTCTCGATAAATCGAGAGATCGGAATCTTCATAAATCGTGAAATCGAAAAATTGAAAAATCAAAAACTGAAAAAACCCAAAATTTTAAAAATCGAAAAATTAGAAAAAATGAAAGATCTTAAACTGAAACATCGAAACTTGAGAAATCGAAACGTCGAAAAATAATTCATCAAATTACTGGAAAAATAAAAACTAGGGGTCATGAAAGGTTGAGAAAATGTAAAAGTAGAGAGTCCGCCGACGGACTCGATTACAATACTTTGCTTACGGTCGGGAAATAAAAATTGAAGAATCGAAAAACTGAAAAATCTGGAAATTGAAAAATTGCAAAATTGAAATGTCGAAAAATGGAAAATTCAAAATTGGAAGATCGAAAAACCGAGAAATCTGAATTGAAAAATTAAAACATCTAGAAATCGAAATATCAGAAGTTCGAAAACCCGAAAAATTTAGAATTCAAGATAGCCCAAAATTGAAACATTTAAACTTTGAAACTTAAAAAAAATTAATTGAAAAACTGCAAAATCGATGTCTCGATAAATCGAGAGATCGGAATCTTCATAAATCGTGAAATCGAAAAATTGAAAAATCAAAAACTGAAAAAACCCAAAATTTTAAAAATCGAAAAATTGGAAAAAATGAAAAATCTCAAACTGAAGCATCGAAACTTGAGAAATCGAAAAATTGAAAAAACAAGAAATCGAAAGTCGAAAAATCGAGAAATCGAAACGTCGAAAAATAATGCATCAAATTACTGGAAAAATAAAAACTAGGGGTTATGAAAGGTCGAGAAAATGTAAAAGTAGAGAGTCCGCCGACGGACTCGATTACAATACTTTGCTCACGGTCGGGAAGTAAAAATTGAAGAATCGAAAAATTGAAAAATCTGGAAATTGAAAAATCCCAAAATTGAAATGTCGAAAAATGGAAAATCCAAAATTGGAAGACCGAAAAACCGAGAAATCTAAATTGAAAAATTAAAACATCTAGAAATCGAAATATCAGAAGTTCGAAAACACGAAAAATTTAGAATTCAAGATAGCCCAAAATTGAAACATTTAAACTTGGAAACTTAAAAAAAAAATTGAAAAACTGAAAAATCGAAGTCTCGATAAATCGAGAGATCGGAATCTTCATAAATCGTGAAATCGAAAAATTGAAAAATCAAAAACTGAAAAAACCCAAAATTTTAAAAATCGAAAAATTGGAAAAAATGAAAAATCTCAAACTGAAGCATCGAAACTTGAGAAATCGAAAAATTGAAAAAACAAGAAATCGAAAGTCGAAAAATCGAGAAATCGAAACGTCGAAAAATAATTCATCAAATTACTGGAAAAATAAAAACTAGGGGTCATGAAAGGTAGAGAAAATGTAAAAGTAGAGAGTCGGCCGACAGACTCGACTACAATACTTCCTTTGCTTACGGTCGGGAAGTAAAAATTGAAGAATCGAAAAACTGAAAAATCTGGAAATTGAAAAATTGCAAAATTGAAATGTCGAAAAATGGAAAATCCAAAATTGGAAGATCGAAAAGCCGAGAAATCTAAATTGAAAAATTAAAACATCGAGAAATCGAAATATCAGAAGTTCGAAAACCCGAAAAATTTAGAATTCAAGATAGCCCAAAATTGAAACATTTAAACTTTGAAACTTAAAAAAAATAAATTAAAAAACTGAAAAATCGATGTCTCGACAAATCGAGAGATCGAAATATTCATAAATCGTGAAAATGATTCGTGATTAATGATTTCGTGATTAGTGATTCGTGATTCGTGATTTGTGATTCGTGATTAGTGATTTCGTGATTCGTGATTAGTGATTAGTGATTAGTGATTTCGTGATTCGTGATTAGTGATTAGTGATTTCGTGATTCGTGATTAGTGATTCGTGATTAGTGATTCGTGATTAGTGATTAGTTCAAAAATTCCAATCTAATCACAAATCACAAATCACGAATCAATAATCACGAATCACGAAATTGCTAATCACGAAATCACTAATCACTAATCACGAATCACGAATCACGAAATCACTAATCACGAATCACGAATCACGAATCACGAAATCACTAATCACGAATCACGAATCACTAATCACTAATCACGAATCACGAATCAATAATCACTAATCACGAATCACGAATCCCTAGTCACGAATCACTAATCACAAATCACTAATTACGAATCACTAATCACTAATCACGAATGACGAATGACGAATCACGAATCACTAATAATGAATCACTAATCACTAATCACTAATCACTAATCACGAATCACGAATCACGAAATCAAGAAATCACGAAACCACGATCAGTGATCAGTGACGAGTGATTAGTGATTTTATTTGTTTGGTGGTTTGCAATCTTGGGGTTTTTTCTTTCTGATTTTCCTTTCGGATTTTTTAATTTCTAAGTTTTGCAGTTTTATTTTTCAATGTTCCTATTTTTTTCGATTTTTGAAGTATTTTTTAATTTTTCGTGGTTTGGAATTTTGGAATTTTTCAACTTTTAGTTCTTCGATTTTTAATTTTTCAGTTTCTCGATTAAAGTTTTTAGCTTTTTAAATAACAACCATTTATTTACGAAAGTGTTCATTACATAAATCAAATTAAACAAAATAAATTAATTTTACTTCCCGAGCGTAAGCAAAGTAAGTATTGTAATCGAGTCCGTCGGCCGACTCTCTACTTTTACGTTTTCTCGATCTTTCATGACCCCTAGAAGACGAAGAAATAGGTCTCCCATTTCCGTCTGTCTGTCCGTCTGTCCGTCTGTCCGTCTGTCTGCCGTCCCGGATTTTTATTAGACAGATAATCTCCGAAAGTACTGGACCGATTGTCGTGAAATTTTGTACTTATATTACGAATATCATGTAGATGGTAAAACGCTAACCAAAATTTGTCTAATCATCCCCACCACTAATGCGATGACGTCACTTCAAAATTGTACATAGTAAATGGGTCTTAAATTGTATAAAATAACATAGTTCTACACATGTAGTTTACGACCCCGAATTGAGTTTTTACCCGAAACGTCCAGATTTTTGGAAAAAAAATCAAAATTATAAAACAACATTTTGCAATTTAATTTTGAATCTGCTAACCCGAATGTTTTGAAATGTTGCAGATGTTTTAAGGCTCTAAAGAGCATTATAAGTCTTTAGTCAAAATATATTTGGTTATCCCCTCCAAAAACTTGATGACGTCAGCTCAAAAGTTTGTGGAATAAATCCTATCTAAAATGTACAAAATATGATGCGTCTGTGCTTGTGATATATCACTCCATTCATATTTTTTGGATTTGCATATACAGGGTGACTCAAAAAAATTAATGAATGCGCAAAATTTATTTTACTGATTTACTCAGGAACTACAAAACCGAATGCTTTGAAATCTTGAAGATGTTTTAAAATTATCATAAG